CAAGTGACCACCATAGTTTGTCAATCTCTATAACGAATGCACCGATCAATGCAACTAATGACACCTCTCTCTTTGCTAACAAGTCTAGTCTTCTGTTTCTAGCCGAAGTCTAAATGTCTTATTCTCCAAACTCTTTTTTTTTCTCTCTTTTTTATTCTCTCTCTTTTTTTTTCAAAGTAGGGAACGGAAGCTCCGTCACAACCCGCGGGTTTTAGCCTTTCGTGATTGTCTTGATACAAGATTTATTGGATTTATACACTAGAGCCCCCACGGATTGGCAGCTGTTGCAGCCCATGTTCTTTCTTTCTTTCTTTTTTTTTTTTCGTGCCAAACGGCTTTTCGACTCCACCAATTATTCCTCCAATCTCATTATTTTTTTTTTTTCAACTAAGAGACATAGAAACCCCAACTTTCAACTTCAAGTCCCCAAACTTAATCAGCATTGATTAAAGTAATCACAAGCAAATCTCAACAATACAAACCGTCTCAAAACCAACTCACCATAAATGAATCACAAAAATATCAACCATCATGCCTTTATCCCCATAATAAAAACACCTTAAGAACTTAACCAAATAAAATTAACTCAAGCCATTTAAACTAGCACAATAAATCCAAACCGAGTCTCATGTCATCATCGCAAATTTCCACGTGCATGTAATCTCATACTCACACAAGACAAACAAATATCATGCAATTTAATATAAGAACTAAAATTCTAAGGGGCAAAAATATAATGACATAATAAACATGAATGCACACCAAGAAACCACATCCCCAAACTTAGAATTTGCATATATCATTGACACTCAAATATCAAAAAGAACAAAAACCGGAGGTAAAAAAAACGAGTTCACCTTAGTCAATGCAGAGGAAGTCGCTAGACCATGCACACCATTGGGTTGCCTCCCAACAAGCGCCTCTTTTTATTGTCGTTGGCCCGACATATTGCTCCTTTTCATCAAAGGATCCATGGCGGCTTCCAAGGTGGCCTCAAGGGAGGCACAAATCTCACAGCCCCATGGTTGGCAACATCCCCTATTTCTGGTGTTGGATGTTTCACTGGATCTTTCCTCCATAACACTAATTCCTCAAGAATATGTAGCAGCCCGTGCTCAATCACGGTCATCGTCTCATTAAACTCCCACTTACACCTTTCGTTCTGCTCGATCGTCTCAAGAGGCTGGATATTAAGGCTTAAGACATGCTTCAGTGCATCTTTACTCAGTACCCACTTCATATTGGAAGAGATAAAACAAGTTTCAGCTTTTATCGGCACAAGAGCGGGGAGAACGGTACGCTTTTTCGCTACAGCAGGTACAGTATGGGGTGTAGCAGGCTGAGTATGGGGCACCCCCGTACTGGGCTGTTTCGACTCCATTTTCTCTATATTCGTGATTTTTCCGTTCTCCAACTCGTATGTACACTCTTCAGGTTCCTCGAGGTCCTCGCTGAATGAATGGGTGACTCTTGAACTCATTGGACTCGTTCGAGCCAACACACTAGTCGACCCATTTGTTCCACCAATTGGCTCATTTGGACTTGTAAATTCCTTATGCGTAGTCCTTGGTTGTTGATGCTCGCCTCTTGGTTCTTGATGCTCGCCTCAACACTTTGCTGAAAGTTAAGGGTGTGAGTCGTCAACTCCATCATCATATCCTCGAGCGACGGACCAGGATCTCCTTCAACTAATGGCTCGCAGTACTCTTGCCGAAATTTTAACAAGTTCAACGCCAATGCCTCAATCATTTACTCGAGCGACGAGCTGGGATCTCGCGCAATTGGTGGCTCGGAGTACCCATAGAACGAGTTCGAGTGCTCTTTCAAATGGTATTCGTACTCATCGGGATAGAAGTAGTCTTGCCCGTCCCTTCGCCAACTAATAGGTCCTTTTATGCCTCGATCTCCAATCCACGGGCCTTGTATCTCTCTCTCATACTGGTAAGGTGCTTGCTGGGTATAAAGGTCATGATAATAGGCTGCCATCTCGAAAATTTTCCGCCAAGCTCGATCAAAAGCGCCAAAGATTAGTCAATCCCGCGAGTATGGGGCTAACTATTCTGTCCAGCAGAGTATGAGGGCGCCCAGTATTCTGTAAGTAAACAAAAACAAAGAAAAAGAGGGGGGTAAAAGATGATAAAATTAAAATCCTAATAAAATAAAATAAAATAAATAATTCCATTGGTACTTAAATATCACAATTTAATAACGCCACTCCCCGGCAACGGCGCTAAAATTTGACCGCGTGTCGTAACGCGGCAAAATTAGAATTTATATATTTCCTCGACTAACCTCTACTAACTAGTAGTACTGAGCAAGGGTCGAACCCACAGGGAGTGTGAATCGAATCGTGATTTTTCTCGTATTATTTGAATTATAAAAAGCGATAAAAGAAGGGGGGGATTGGATTAAAGCTAAGATCCTAATTAAATAAGTAAAATCTAAACAATGAAATAAAATAAAAATATAATAAATAAGAGAATTTTCTATTTCACGGTTCCGTCTACACCCTCGACAGACTCGTCTAATCAACTTTGGTATCAAATCTCTCTATCATATGGAATTACTAGCCATAGGCAACGACACGGTCTGTTACCCGAATTTTTCCTTATTTATAATTTAACCGCGAGACGCTCTACGATTAAACCTGACTTCTTGTACAGTCCAGAAAGACGCTTTCAAGATTTAATACATTTAGCCGCTTTACGTATTAGAAAAATAGGCTAGACTAAGTAGTGACGCGTTCGTTCACTTAAATAGGCCGTGTTATCCCCAATAGTTACCATCTTCCGGATACCACTTGCGAATTAAACACATCAACAATTACGGATTGAAGGTCTAATTCAGGTGTAGATATGTAAAGCCTAATCTAGGTGATCAATTTAAATAAGACTCAGCACATCATGGTTAATTATTCAAAATAACACAAACAATTCCAAATAGATATTAAAATCATCAACCATATAATCAATCAAAACATAGTCAATCGTAGGGTTCGACTTCCCCGGAACTAGAAAGAAAAACTACTCTAACATAATAAATAAAAAAAAAAATAAAAGAAAGAGAATAGAATTAACCTCTTTCGTGTGCGAGTGCGGCTTCCCTCCGCGATTGAGCGGGTTCTCGTATCTGCCTTCCTTCTCTGTTCTGTTTGTTGGCTATCTTTTTGCTGAGTGAATCCCTCTGTTCGCGTATATTGATGTGTGAGGGGTCTCTACCAATAATAATTCCTTAAAGCCTCCAATAAAAAGTGGTTTCCTTATTGCATGACTCTTGCTCCACAATTAATTTCCTTATGTGTGGGTAAATTTTTTTTCTCTCTCCTTGGTTGACAAAATTAATTGTGACTCTCCATTGCTTGTTCTCCAGCACGTGGCTTTTAATTCTTGAGTCCAAAAATTTAAATCTCCAAGTCAACCCAACTAATTAAATCTTAATTACATATTGGGCCCTTTTGCACATATAAGACGAAAACGTCTGGTATGGGGTCGAGTACGGGGTACTCCCGTATTCTGAAGGCTGAAATCTAAAAATAAGACATAAAAATATCATAGCACTTGAATCCATCTAATAAATAAATGAGTCAAAAAATATATAAGTGCGACAAAATTAAGCATATAAAAATATGCTAATAAACATTTAATATACACACTTTTTTCGATCAATCATATTTTTAAATATATTAATAAATTTTTATTATTTATTTTTTCTGTACGTGATATAATCTAAATTTTGTTATTAGATTTTTCAAAACAAACATTTAAAGGAAAAGATCACAAACATATTTTTTTAGGTATATTTCATTTTATCTTAACTTTCATATAATCACATTCCTAATAAACTAATTAATATAATTACATTTGTCTAACCGAATTTTTTAAAATATAGTTATTATAGTATTTTAACTAATTAATCTTTTTGCCTAACCAGATTTATCTCATTAATAAACTTGCCAATTTATTTTGAAATTGAAATGGTAATATTATTCTTACGGGTATATTTATCAGAATATTAAACATTTGAGAAAGTTTTTTAAAACAAATTTAAAATTATCCCGCCTTTTACTCTATTTGAAATTCAAAATTATATTTTTAAATATATTTGTAGACATTTAATATTTATTTTTTCTTATGTTAAAAAATTAATGAAAGATTTTGTTTATTGATTTTTGGTTTTTTTTGGAACATTTTAATAAACACCCTTGTAGATTTGTTCCTTATATTTTTCCGTATGTTAAAAGTAAAACTCTTTTTGAAAGCACTATTAGTTTTCTCCTCAAACATTTAAAATTTCGATAAGTTTATTGGTTTCTGATGGGTTGACGTGAGTTGATACTTTCAACCCAATTTCAAATATCATATTGTCTAATCTGTTACTTTAATTTTATTCAACTTAATTTTATAATAATTTTAAATTGTTACTTTAATTAGATTGAATTTTATTTCCTAGTAATTGAATATATGATGAGAATAGAATTTTCTATCAATCGTTTGATAAAATAAATAAATAAATATGAAAGAACTCATAGTGATAATGGCCGTCGAAATGACAAAATTCCAATGGAAAAAACTTATTCGAATGAAATAATTCCAAATGGAATTTTCGTTGAAATAATTAGATTGAATTTTATTTTCTAATAATTTTCGTTGGTTTCCTAAGCGTCTTGTTTATAACTTTCAATTATAATAAAGAAGCCTGAGGTTGCAGTTTATATAAAACAGAAATCAAGACTGGTAAACACACCCCTTGAGCTAATAATTTGTTACAGAAATTAGCTTATTGTCAATATACACTGCTTTTTTTGATTTATCCAAAAGGTAAAAAATACAAGAAGGCTAGTAATAGAGGAAGAGCCTCCAAGAAACACAGAAGATGTCTTAAAATCAAGCAAAGAGAATGAAATCACCACAACTACAAATCGAGCATCAGAATACCACAAAGAAATCGAAGCGTAAAGTCCTCCGGAGATAAGGTCCATGCATTATTTCTCGACATGGCCTTCACGAATTTCGACCCAACACTCTCGTGAGCCTTCTCCATTTGATAACAAAATACACATACACACTGTCCCACACTTTCTGAAGGAATGCATAATACGCTTCCCTCCATTTGTGTTTGAAAAATAATGTAGTGACGACAGCTGAAACCCCAACAGCATATCCTAAAGATAGGAATACGTAAAACCAATTAATCTCTGGCGGCATACCGCCTTCTCGGCCTTTATTCTCTACGTTCGTTGGGGTAGCGGCGTTACTACCATTTCTGCATGAAATTTTCAGTGGAGAGCCACAAAGATTGTTGCCAATGAAGCTCGACTCGTTCAAGCTCCCAATCTGGGTGCTTTCTGGGATTCTTCCAGTCAAGTGGTTATATGACAAGTTCAGGCTATTCAAAAAAGACATGGTTGTGATGCTACCTGGAATGTTGCCCGATAATGAGTTCATTGAGAAATCAAGAGATTCGAGTTCCTTCATGTTTCCAGTGTTGTCTGGGATCGATCTTGTTAAATTATTTCTCGACAGGTTCACTGATCTGAGTTCCACTAGACTTGTTATCTCTCTTGGAATATCACCAGACAAATTGTTCATAGAAAGGTCAATACTGATAACCAAAAAGAGATTGGCGTTGTAGGTGAGTTCTCTTCCCTTTAATGCAATTGATGCACCTTCCTGAATTTCTATTGCAAATGCAAAAGATTCTGGCATATCCCGACTTTGTGGTCTACCAAAAATCCTTTTTGTGGTCATTGTGGTTAGATTGTTGAGGCATTGAGGTAGCCTCCCTGACAGTTTGTTATTAGAGAGATCCAAGACTTGAAGAGAAGTAAGCTGACATATGAATGGACTAATTTCACCACTCAAATTGTTGGACTGCAAAACGAGAAACCTCAGCTTGTGGAATCTTGTGTCAATCCAGTTCGGTATGTCCCCACCAAGGTTGTTACCACCAAAGTCGATCTTAATTAGTTCGGTGCAGTTTTGCAATGAAGAAGGTATGTGGCCAGAGAAATTGTTGCCGTGGAGATTCAAAGACACTAAACGTTTAAGAAATCCTATGGAATTTGGTACTCTTCCAGACAATTTGTTGTTGCCTAAGTCCAACACTTGTAATGATTGCCACCTCAGGAAACAATCGGGTATATCTCCAGACAGTTGGTTTTCCCCGAGATTAAGAATTCCCAATCCATTATTGGTTGATGTGTTGCATACAAATTCTGACAGATCTCCCGAGAATGAGTTATTGAAGAGATTGAGTTCCGGCAATGAACTCGTCAATATTCGAGGCAGTGGACCACTAAACTTGTTGGAACTCAAGTCAAAAACATAATAATCATGCACACGATCACTAATGGATAAAATCATTCCATCGAGTTGGTTATGCGAAAGGTTGAGATATCCCAAATTCAAACTCCATAACCAGCTGGGAACATTTCCATAGATTCCAGTACACGATAAATCGAGTTGGGAAATACTCTCTTTCTGAGTCTCAAGCCATAACGGAAATGGAGATCCCAAGTCACAAGACCTTAGCCTTAGAGTCTCTAGTTTGAATGGTGGAATCCAATTGGTGTTGAATTTCAAAGTCAAATGGTTTCCAGAGGCATACAAGTAATCTAAATTTGAGAGATTGACAAAGTGGGTTTCAGTCACAACCCCTTCCAACATGTTATTATATATCGAAAGCTCAGTCAAGTTCACAAGTTTCCCAATACTCTCTGGTAAGTTCCCCCTCAATTTATTATTTTCCAAATAGAGGTAGTGGAGGTGTTTGCAGGAGGAGAGCCACTGTGGAATGCTTGAATTCAAATTGTTATTGGAGAGATAAATTTGTTGGAGTTTTGTGGTGTTGCTCATAGTTGGAATTGGGCCTTCCAATGAGTTGAAACTCATATCAAGATAGATAAGGTCGGTGAGTTGAAAAATCCACGGAGGGATGATGGCATAAGGCAGTGAATTACAAGAGATATCAAGAGTGGCTAAATTAGAACGGCTGATATTGATAATATCATTCAGAGGAGCCATCAAATTAAGACTACAATAATACATTTGCAGCTCGACTAATGAAGGGAGGTTGTTGATCACCTGTTGAGCCCAGTTGGTTGCTTTGCTGAGGTTCACACCATTCATGTAGAAGTTCTCTAGTTTATGAAGTCCCGACAACCATTCAAGACTATCAGCATCCAACAATCGTTCTGAATTACTCAAACTTAGAGTGTACAGATTTGAAAGATTCCCAATATTGTGGGGAATCATTCCATAAAATCCAGCATAATCTAAACTCAAGTACTCGAGGCTAGTGAGTGATCCAATGATAGAAGGGATCTTTAAATGAAAGTTGTTTCGGCTCAGGTCAAGATATTTCAAATGCTTCAAGTTGAGCAAAGACGAGTTTATTTCGCCACCTAACGAATTACCTTGAAGATCAAGTCGAAGAACATGGCCGGTTACGTTGCTGCAGAAAATGCCTTCCCAAGTGCAACAATCGACTTTGAAATCCCAAGAAGAAAAAAAGTTTGAGGGGTCGTGCAGAGATTGCTTGAAGGTTAAAAGTGATTGCTTTTCGATTTCAGGGCAAGAGATTGAATAGAGTAGTCGGAAGAACAAGAAAAGGAGGACCCAAAACATAGATGCAAGGATACAGAATTTTGATTCATGCATCCTCATTACTTCAAATTTGTAGTGATGGTGGATTGATAGGAAAGATAGAGTGCACATACAATCTGCATATATATACAAGGAATGAGGTGGACTTGTTCTTGCCCCTCTTATGCTTCACTTATTTCCACTTCAAAGAATAGTAAATATTCATGGGCGTTAAGTGATATATGTATCTGCAAACTGAAGGCAAATACTTAGTTGTCTACTTCATCTGAAAATGAATGAAAATTAAAATGAAATGTTGGAGCCATAAGACGACCTTGACTTACATTGAATCAGTAATCTTGTATAGGCATTCGTCGTCGTATCGTTTTTTCCACACTTGCAGACAATTATCATCAGAAATTTGGAGGGAAGGCGCTCTATTTTTTCTTTAGATTTTATTATTTTTTTTCAATTTAGTACACGTTTCGTACTCATGAAACTTTGTTTGATTTATTCACTCATAACAGGGAGATGCATTTCGATGCATTCTCGAATTGAAAAATGAGTGATTAAGAGAATGACATATAGCTACAGACCAAATGACTATTGTTTTGAAGTTAATTAGTTATTTAACCGAACCATTTTGTCTATTGAAAACTCAAGGAGAAAAAATGTGCATCACATCTTTTTTACATATGAGCTGGATCTTGGGTGTCCATGCAATCTACATATATATAGAAAGAAGAAGGTGAACGAAAATATTATTGCCTGAGTAAATTGTGATTTTAGTTCGGTATGTTTTACTACTTTACCTTTTTCGTCCGCTTGGAATTGATTTTTGTTTTTCGTCCTTGATGTTGGCAAAAAAGTTACAAAAAAGTCCCCAAGCATACATAAGGGACGAAATTGCAACATTTTTTTTTTCAAAACGTAAGGGACCTTTTTGTTGCAAAAAGGACATTTTGTAATCTTTTTGCAAACATAAGGAACGAAAATCAAAAAAGCAAATCAAAGAGGACAAAAATGTTTATCAGTGAAACACACAGGGCCGAAATTGCAATTTTCTCTATTCCTGCGCATCTTGTGGTTCAGTTGCTTCCGTTTCAAAGAAATATTATTGGAATTACTTTCCTGTTTTTTTTTTTCTATTATTTGTGTAAGGTGTAAAAATAATATTTATACATATTAAATTTGAGTGATATATGCATGCACTTGCATTTTGCATGTATTAGTTAAGGTGTTAATCCCCTGCAAACTATCAGATTGTGTGAAAATGGACAGTGGCTTATCTCTTCATCTGATAATGAAAGAAAAAAAAAAGAAAAAAAAAATAAAAAAGATAACATGTTGAGTGATAAAAATCGTGCAAGAAATCATAAGAACAAATTTTCCAGGAACACAAGCTTTCATTGATAATGCCATGGCGGCTGAACATTCAATACAAAACCTACAAACATGAAAACCTAGCCAATACTATTTATAGAGCTAAGGGAATGATCTAGAGACATGGACACGTGTCACACATCTACACCATAACTATTAGGATAAAATGAGAAAAATATAAGATGCTCCAGATGATTTCTAATTGGTCATGCACAGCTGGAGCTGGGGACAGCCATCGAGTTTGTCTTCATGCAAAACAGCAGCTGATGTCATGCTAGGGTCATGCAGAGGTAAGCACTTTGTTTTCTTCATTTCTTCTAACATTGAGCAATAAGACGACCTTGACTTAAATAAATAAATAAATAAATAAATACAAAGACGACCTTGACTTACCGTGAACCACTAATCTTATGTATGCATATATTGGACCATTGGCCATGCTATTGTTTTTCCAGTACGTGCGATGCATGTAGTGGTCAATGTTTTTTGTCGTTTAAGTTTAATAATATAAATTAATTAATTTATTAAATATAGCATTGTAAAAACAAATAAAATTTATAAAAATAAGTTCCCAGTGTATTATAATTTTCTAAAAATATATAACGATGTTCTAATATAATAAGGATGAAATAGCATATTATAAACCCGACCAAAAAAAAAATGAAAAATGAGCTCTTAATGAAAAGAACACTAAATAACTAAATAAAGACATAATGTATATAAGTTGAGGATTTGTCTAGTGCGCGAGTTTGGAATTTTACTTTGATATTTTCCCCCAAAAGTTCATTGAAACTTGAATAGAATGTATTGAGAGAGGTCAGATTTTCTAAGGCATTGGACAACACGAGGTGCTTTCAAGAGTTGGTATCCAGGACCACACTGTTGGGTGTTGGAATTGATATAATTTGGAAGAGATATCAAATATTGGATGATGTAGACGAAATCGCCTATTTGGAGAGGCATGATTGTAGACGAGATAGCAATCGCCTATTGGATTCGAAGAACGTCGTTTCATGCACATTCGAATCTATTAAAAATAAATTCTAACGCATTGGAATATATAGTTAGGAATATATAGTTAGGATTAGGATTCACATTTTTTAACATTTTCTCGACTCTTGAGACATTTCAGATTCTATGTTGGAGATCGTCTGAACACCAGACTGAGTCCGTTGGGTTGCCAGATTAGGCCTCGCAATCACCGAACCGTGACCGATTCTCGCGTCTCACGTCTTTGATTGCTCGTTGAGCCCATCGGACGGTCCTAAACCTACCTGAGGAGTTTCACTTCAAAGCTGGGAACAATACAATGTAAAGACTTTATAAGGAGACTTTCATACCGGTTTGGTATGTCTCGCGTCTCACGTCTTTGATTGCTAGTTGAGCCCGTCGGACGGTCCTAAACCTACGTTGCTTAATCGAATCGCTCGTAACTCGTCTTGGCTTCGTTGTTTTGTAGTTTTTAGCCGAGTACGTAATAAATTCTGACCTCGGGTTGCATCTCTCGACAAAGGTTTTTCGGACACAACTTCGGACTACAATAGTCTCACACATGAAAAGAAAATAAAAAGTACTCTTAAACACTCTACTCTCAAATTAGTGGTTGGATTAAGCTATATAGGTTACAACTTTACGCTAGACTAAAAGCAAGATTCAAACTTTAACACAAGCAAGTCCTCAAAATTTTATCAGCTACTTGCTGGTTTGTACATAATCTAAGAGTCATGCATCCATATATATTGCTTCATCAAGCAAGCAAAAGCCATATCTATACTATATTAAAAGAGCCAATGAATCTGTAAAAATATGTTTTGCCTAAATTACCCTTATTTTGTCAAATTAATTTTGTAACTAAATATTAATAATTTAATATTACTAATACACCACCACTAATCCTAATCCTAATTTCTATACACAAAACAACGATCTCTCTGCCAAAAAAAAAACAACGATCTGTCATCTCTCTGCCAAAAAAAAAAAACAACGATCTCTCTGCCAACAAAAAAAAAAAAGGCATCGCACACAGGTGAAGAAATTCGCAGATTTAGATCGTGAAATTGAAAGAAAGCATTCGATTCGCAGTTTTAGATCGTGAAATTGAAAGAAAGCATTCGATTCGCAGATTTAGATCGTGAAATTGAAAGAAGCATTCGACCGAAAGGGGTAGGGACAAGACCAACTAGACGCCGTAAGAATACCTGCACGGCTAAGACTTCAAGGAGGGTTGAGAAAGATTCGGAATTTCACTATTTCTGTATTTTTTAGTTGAGATTGAATATTTTTTTTTTGTATATTTGTAAACAAGCAAGCTCTAAGCATTTTACCTTGGTAATTATTTTATGAATATGACAAACTAAGTCTTTGTGGCCGATTTGTGAATATGGGCACAGGTTTGGACAACTTCAGGCGGTTGACCTTGAGAGTATTGAACCAGCCCTTATAGCAGGTGCTCTTGATTTTATTTTTTTCATCATAATGAATTTATTAGATTTCTCATATTCTTCTGTTTCGGCTGAAAGGGTAGAGAAGGGATATTAGAATAATGAAAATACCTTTAGGTTTCTGATAAATGCTACAAATAATTTTATGAGTTTGAAAAAGTTGGGGTTCGACTAAATATCCATAGTATTACTATATGTAACCAACCTCTTATTTTATTCCTTGGGATGTGAAATGGCACCGATGTTTCTGTTAACCTGTAGATGAAGTCATCTTCTGAGATTATCTTGATGGGTTTTCCTTTTTGGATCTTTAGGATTATCAACCAGCTGATAAATATTGCGTTTTTATTTGGTGTGGGTGGTGAAGAAGACAACGATTGAGTGAATAAAAGTGGCCACGGATCAAAGAAGGTCAGCCCCAAAAAAATTCCGCTATGCTCACGATTCTATGGTGCTAGGGTACTTAATTGTGTTAGATTTCATATTTGTTAAATTTACACAATGATAAATTTTCATCAACTGAATTTGATGAAAGAGGGAAGAAAAGGGAGGATGTAGTTACTGCTCTATGTTGTATGCTTTATCTGCATTCTGCCATTAAAATTATTAGCAGAATTTCTTCATATTAAAAATCCTGAAGAAGGTCACTATTCTGTAAGTTGTAAGTTGTTTTAGTGTTGATGTTACATATTCTTTTGATCTCATTGCTTTCTCATTAATATGTTCTTTCGCTATCAAATTGATCCTCAGGCAATGCACGATCCTGTGAGTTTTTTTGACACCTATCACAAGAAAAATACTTGAGCTCCAGTTTTTTTCGTGTTTCTCTATAGAAATTAGGAGTTTATTTGGTGAGCGATTGAGAATTGAGTGATAAAGCTACTGAAAGTCATTCCATTTGTTGTCCATTTTTTTGACAAATACTGTTATACCCCGATGTCCGGCAAATTATCGTCGCCCACTTCTCTAACTAATTTTAGATTTTATTTTTTGTTTTTAATTAAATTTATTGTTCTTTGGCACAATGATTTACTTTTTAAAGGATCTTATCAAATTGTAGCATGAGTCGAAGATAAACAAGTAAAAAAAAGGTCAATTTTTTCTTGTAAATATTTCTATGTGTGAACGACAACATTATCTTGACGTTAAATGGAAAAATTGTCATATTAAATTTCTACACTTAATATGATTGTATAATATTATATAGATGCACTAGATAATATTAAATTGTTTAACGGTGAATGATTGAGTGATTGACGGTCCTGTAGCTCTATCTTTCTGTAAGTGGGGGGCTTTAAACTCTTGCTCTAATCATCTCAATTAATGGGTCTCTCTCTCTCTGATGTGGAAATCCCTTTAAAGAATAATGGGTGTTTTGCTTTTTTTTTTTTTTAATTTTTATTTATCCTTTTTCTCTTGTCTGTTGTACTATTTGTTCCTTTAGTTATTCTGGGCTGTTATTGTTGTTGTTGTTGATAATGTTAGTAAAGATGGAAGATGAGATACTTAAATATATTGAAAAAATAATTAGTTTGCAGTAAAGGAACATATTTAATAGTTATTCAATGCTGTTATTCATATCTTGTAGAGATGATCATATTTTGATGCAAAGATGATATCGCAAATTCTTAGTTATGATACACTTTACATACACTTCAAAGACTGTCCTCTAATTGTTGGACTTCATGTTATGAGATTTATTTACTAAAGCATTTATTCTATTTTTTGCCTCCATTATCATCTAAATGGTACCATATAGAAATGTCTCAAAATTTTTAATCAAGAAGAATCTTTTTCAATTTTATTTGCAATATTTTCCAATACTTTTGTTTTCATCACAGGAAAAATATTATTCTTTCAAAGGATACGTGGATAAGGTGAGTAAATCATCTTTGTGGTATGAATCATGTAAAAGTTGTGCCACCGCAGTTGTGAAGACCAACAACGGCATGTCATGCAAAAAGTGCAATAGCAAAATTGAGGAACCAACTCCAAGGTATTAAGCATAACAAAAACACTGCATTTAATATTTACGTACATAAAAACATTTACAAAAAAATATACAATCATTGCAGGTATAGGTTGGTATTAAACGTCGTGGCAGATACCCACAATGCGACAATAACTTTATTTGAGGAAGCTGCAATGGTGTACGTTGGGTGTCCGATTAATGATTACATCAGATCAATTGAGCAGGTGAAATATATACTCATTTTGAAATTCACATTAATCGTGAAGTATAATATTTATTAAACAAATTACTTTTCAATGAACATTAGGGGGAAGAATTATCTGGATATTACAAAGGGTTGAGCTTACAGTCAACATTTGAGTTTCAATTCCTCATTCCAGTCGATAGTAAGTCGTTCAACTCAAGAGGAGAATTCAATGCAGTGGCAGAGGCAATTGCAAGGACAAATGATGAGGAAATGAATGATAACCAAGAAAATTCTCTCCAAAGCCCTACTGGTCTGGATGTGGATAAAGGCAATTCGTCAAAGAGGACCACCATCAGAAAGAAACGATCAATCAACAAGATAATAGAAGATGAAAATGATTCTGTTGTTGAAGTTGAAGATCATGAGACAATTAGTAGTATCAAGAAGAAGTGTGCAAGAAAAAGTACAAAAGCAAAAGGAAGGAAACCAACTCCAATCGTCAAAATAAAAAAGGAGAAGAATTGAAGCAACAGTAAGGAGAACACTGAAGAAACAGTAATTCGTATTAGTTCCTTATTTAGTTAATTCTCTATTTTATAGACAATTTGTTTTTGCGTAATAAGTTATTTATTTTTTAATTTAATTTTAAAAATTTCTCTTTTGAATATTTATGAATTCGTAATTTCATATATTATTTCATTATCTTCAAATCCCCACTTAATATAATTTAGTACAAAATAGTAAGAAGAAAATAGAAAAATTATTGCAAATAATGTTATGCACAACTATGCATCTCAAAACAATAACACAAACTTCATTAACCATTACATAAAGAAATATTCCAAAACAATTTCTAATTTTGCTAACTACTGAAGTTCTATTTTGGTATTATTGCTCCTGCATTTTCACATGTCATAATATTTAGGTCCGTACATTTAAATTCAAGAATGCATCACAATAAACCTGTTAAATTCTATATTTAA